CAAACCTCAACGGGAAAGGGGTTGGGGGTGGGAAGAAATAAACCAAAGAACTTACATGCATAACCAATGGACACAGACAATAGTGTGGGAAAAGGCGGGAGGGGGTGGGAGTGGGGAGGAGGGGGTCAATGGGGGAAAAAATTTGGAACATCTGTAATACATTCTACATTCAACAATAAAGATTTAAATAAATAAATAAATAAATGAATAAATAAATAAGTAAAAAATAAAAAAAATTGCAAAAACAAAAAAAAAAACCTATTATTTTCTGCCTTTTACATGAAGACCAAATTTCTCAGTTGGTCAAGACTGTATAGAAATCAGTTTTAATCAGAATTTTTAAAATTATATACATCTATAAAGTATCAAAAATTATAGATAAAGCAGTAGATATTCCTGACCACAATCACCTTCCATCATAGTCTTATCTTGAGGTAACTATAGACACTAGTTTATTTTTGGTTCTAGATTATTTCTGTTTATGTAATATAATGTATGTACCACACATATCTAGAAACTAAAGCCATTCTGTATTTTTAGACTAATAGTATTGTTTCTGGCAATATGGGCTCTTGGCTCCTGAGTTGCACAGGGAAGATTGAACAATATGAGTTTAGGTGATTTTGAGAGTATGTTTATTAAAGGAAGGGCTTAAGATAAAAGAGGCAAGATTATAGCAATAGGAGTGAGCTTAGGTGGAGCTGCCTTGGCCCTTTGTAAATTTGATGAATAATTGAGCCTTGGCATGGCTGCCTCGGCCCTTTAGATAGAAAGTCACAGGAGCAGAAGAAGTGAATCAGCTGAGCTGCATGGACTTAGCAATTAAGTTACCAAGGCAAAATAAGGGCCCTTGGAGAAAGAAAGCAAATATATGTGCCTTCGGAAAGAAGGGGAGAAAGTCATGGGCATGCAGAGAGAGAGAGAGAGAGAGAGAGAGAGAGAGAGAGAGAGAGAGAGAACTGGGTACTTTGCCTCAAACGTTTTTATCATTTTTCTAAAGGTAGGAATTTTAGGTGGGTTTTCCGGGGAGGATCTCAATAGAAAATTCATCAGCTTTCCAGGTGTGTCCTTTCAGGGTCATGGTCTCTATGGATCGGTTGATGCCAGGACAGGGGATCATTGGCCATTCATCTGGTCCTGAGGTCAGCCATGGCATTGTTTCATCTTGTTTTGCTGCTTTTCTGGGCCTGGAGCTGAAACACAGCTGAGGCCTAGTTGTTATTTCTAGTTTCACCAAACTTCTATCTCTGTAGTTAATGGTCCTGAGACTTTGTTCCTAAGATTATTTGATGGTGAACCTTATTGTCCTGAGGGCTTGGTGCTTTAGGCAGTGGTGGTGCAACGGAGAAGAAGGCAAGTGAGTCAGGGTGCTGGATGGGGCCAATTTGAGTGAGCCACCTCTCTCAGTTTCCCCATTCCACTTGCCAAAGAAATTTTCTAGCTTCTTACTATCCTGCCTTAGTATCATACTATAACATTTTTCTGTAATTTAATTTTTTACTCAGAAGCACACATTGAAGCTCTTTCTATATTAGCACATAGAAATAGATATTATTTTTAACTAGTATAATAGCGCATGGTCTGTATCACCATTTACTTATTGACTCACCTTTGAATTGTTCCTATTCATTTGTTACCAAAACCAACATTAAAATAAACATCCCTGCACAGACCTTTATGTGTATGCCTATGAGTATCTTTCTGGTCACTGTAAAGGCTAAAAAGTAGACTTAATTTCTGTGCTCTGCTATTTATCTTTTACATTGATGCCATTCGATTGTTTTTCAATCAGGCTGCACTGATTTGTGCAATCAGTTCTTTCTACCTATTACTCAATTACTTTTTGTTCTCTTAAAATTCTATTCTCCTATGTATAGGAGGAAGAAGTGTTTTTGTTTATTTTATTTACTTTTTCATCACCATTTATCACCTCTATGCCCCTTTCCACCTTCACTCACCCCCCTCCCTGCACCCGCCATCACCGCGCTGTTGTCCATGTCCCTGAGTTCTCTCTCCTCTTCTTTGCTCAGTTCCCCATCCTGCCCCTGCCCCCACCAACCCCCCAACCAGAGCTATTCATCTACTCTCTTTTTTATAAGTCTATCTCTATTTTGCTTGGTAATTCAGTTTGTTAGTTAAATTCCACCTATGAATGAAATCATATGATACTCGTCTCTTCCTGATTGGTTTATTTTACTTAGCATAATTTTCTCCAGGTCCATCCACGCTGTCAAAAAGGGTAAAATTTTCTTCCTATTTATGGCATAGTAGTATTCCATTGTGTAAATGTACCACTTCTTTTTTATCCACTTATCTACTGATGGGTCCTTGGGCTGCTTCCAAACCTTGGCTATTGTAAATAATGCTGCAGTTAACATAGAAGTACACATATTATTTTGAATTAGTGTTTTGGGTTTCTTCAGATAAATTCCCAGAAATTGCTGGGTCATAAGGCAGTTCCATTTTTATTTATTTCCACAGTGGCTGCATCAGTCTGCATTCCTACGAACAGTGCACAATCTCCACATCCTCGCCAACACTTGTTGTTTATTGATTTATTGATGATAGCCATTCTGACAGGTGATACCCCACTATGGTTTTAATTTGTATCTGTAATGATTAGTGATGAGCATCTTTTCATATGTCTATTGGCCATCTGTATATTCTCTCTTGATAAGTGTCTATTCATGTCTTTTGCCCATTTTTTAAATTGAATTATTTTGGTTTTTTGGTGTTAAATTTTAAAAGTTTTTTATAAATTTTGAATATTAACCCCTTATCAGATGTATCATTGGCAAATGTGTTCTCCCATTTAGTGGGTTATCTTTTCATTTTGTTGATGATTTCCTTTGCTGTACAAAAACACACTTTATAGTCAATTAATATTTGACAAAGGAGGTATTAACATACCTAAACTGACATACCTAACATGAACTAAAGATAGTCTCTTTTTTATTTTATTTTAATTTTTTATTTATTAATTTGTTTTTGTTACAGATGTTTCTCTTCCCCCCCCCCCATTGACACCCTCCTTCCCTCCCCCCATCACCAGCTTTGTTGTCTATGTTCATTGGTCATGCATACATGCATGTAAGTTCTGTGGTTTATCTCCTCTTCCCCCAATTCCCCCTCCTCTGAGGCTTGTCAGTCTGTACCCCACCTCCATATTTCTGGGTTAATTTTGTTCAGTAGTTTGCTAAGCAAAACAAGCCAAGCAGAGAAAGACAAATATCACATGACCTCACTTATTTGTGGAATATAATGAACTAAACAAACTAAAGATAGTCTCTTAAATAAATGGTGTTGGAAAAATTGGACAGATGCATGCAAAAAAAAAAAAAAAAAGAAAGAAATTAGACCACTTTCTTACACTGCATACAAGAATAAACTAAAAATGGATTAAAGACTTAGATGTTGGACGTGAAACCATAAAAATCCTAGAAGAAAACATAGGCAGTAAAATCTCAGACATTTCTTTTGGCAATATTGTTTCTGATGTATCTCCTTGGGCAAGAGAAACAAAAGAAAAAATAAACAAATGGGAAAAAATTTTTCTTAACCCTGTAGACCTCTTCAGACATGACTCGGTCTGAAAATTAAACTGACCAAGTAGATTAACTGGGGAGAAGCATACACAGTTGTTAAATTTTATGTGATGCGTGATCCTTCATAAGGACATGAAGACCCAATGGAACAGTTAATCCCAAATGTTTTTATATGAGGTTCAATGAATGTAATGAGGCAAGGAGTATGAAGGAAGTGTAGTGATTTAGGAGACATTTAACAAGGCTTATTCACTCAGATTCCTCTGTGTCCTTGTCTTCAGAGATAAGGATACTCCTTTCTTCCAGGTATGGGGGTGGGGCAACTCTCATATGAGGGTTTTATAATCTGCTTCAAGGGAAGATCAAAAAGTTTGTCCTGCTCATAACATTTCTCCAATTTCTTCAGCTTGAAATACTATTCAATATGCCAAGCTGCCATATTTTGGGATAGTGTCTCGAGCCCCATCATTCTATAATACCCAAAGTTTTCTGGATATACCATACATGTTCACATGTCCTTGCTTTTGTTTCTAATGTTGTTAGTTTCTCAATGTAACACAATCTTAGGCAGCAATTACAACTGAGGTTTAGTATTACTTCTTCACCAAATCTTTTTTCAGCTTCTGTCACATTCTTGGCACAGAAATAATGAAGTGTTTTTCTTTGAGTTTCCTAGTATATTACACATATCTCTCGGATAGCACTTCTGGTGTAGTTTAGTTGTGAATGCATCATGGGAAGTAAATTGTAAGATCTCTGGGATCAGAGATCTTCCCTGATAAGATGGAGATGTACCTCTTAGCTGTGTCCGTGACTGGTGGTTTTGCTATGTTTCCTTAAAACTCCAGACATAATTTCTTCTTTGTTTTTAAACTAAGATGGTGGAATAATAACATAATAACATATTAACAAGAAGAAAATAAATTATATCAGTCATTATTCAAAGTCTTATAATAAATTAAATAGAAGCCTCTGAGTGCTTTAGCATGTGAATATTACTATTGTATATAGTTATAGATTATATGATTTACCTCACTATGTAAATTTCTGTTATGTATACATACTACATATACATATTTAAATATTTTGATATGAAAATAAATCATTGTTTCCAGGAGACGCATTATAAATGAATTCATATCTCACACAGTTAATTATCCCAAAGAGCTCATTTTAAATGCATATGACTTTTAATGGTTCCAATGGGAAGGCAACCCTTCAATACTGAAGAATGTTACAAATTTTAATTGAAACAAGGTTACCTAAAGTACTAAGGTTACATAAGATGCTGTCAAAGCAGTTATGACTCTATACATTTATAATTTGAATATTCTGGTCAAAACAGTTTTCTATAATTAGATTGGAAGATGTGACAGATGCAAGTGAGCTTCTCTTTCCACAAAGACATTCATTTTTATGATGTATTTTTAATAATTTGTCTTTCTGTAATTATAGATAATTTTAGAAGCTACTGTTTTATCTCCAAATGCTACCATTGCTCTAGACGACATCAGTATATCCCAAGGATGTGAAATTTCATATACAGCACTTCCAGGTACCAGCATAGTAAACAAAGGTAAGTTTTTTCTCATAGTCATTGCAATTTTAAACTTTGAAATAATTAGTTCTTCTTGATATCAAAATATAAAATACAAGTCCTTCAATAATATAGCTCACCAATACTTAATACTGGACGTAGGTCAAATCACATGTCCTTGAAAACTAAAACATATATATTTAAATTAAATTAATTTATTAATTTATATTAAAAATTAAATTTATTGGGGTGACATTGGTTAATAGCATTATGTAACTTTCAAGTGTACAATGCTATACTACATCATCTGTATATTGCATTGTGTACTTACCACCCAAAGTCTAGTCTCTTTCTGTCACCACATATTTGACCCCCTTTACTATTTTCAACCTCCACCTACCTTCCTTCCCCTCTGGTAACCACCATACTGTTGTCTGTGTCTAAATTTTTTGTTTGTTTGTTTCATTCATTTATTTGTTGCTTTCTGTTTTATATCACACATATGAGTGAAATCGTATGATTCTTGTCCTTCACCATCTGCCTTATTTTGCTTAGCATGATACTCTCAAGATCCATACATATTGTCACAATTGGCAGTATTTCATCCTTTCTCATGGCTGAGTTGTAGGCCATAGTTTATATGTACCACGTATTCTTTATCCCATCATCCATTGAATGAAACAGGTTATTTCCATGTCTTGGTTATTATAAATGAGGCTGCAGTGATCATAGGGGTATATATATCTTTAGGAATAAATGTTTTTCCATTTTTCAGGTAGGTAACCAGCAGTGGAATTGCTGGATCAAATGGTAGTTTTATTATTAAATTTTTGAGGAACCTCCATACTGTTTTCCATATTGGCTATACCAATTTACATTCTCACCAGCAGTGTATGAGGGCTCCTTTTTCTCCACATCATTTCCAACAGTTGTTATTTCTTATCTTAGTGATAACAACCCTGAGAACAGGTGTGAAGAGTATCTAACTGTGGTTTTGATTTGCATTTGCCTTATAGTAAGTGAATTTGAACAACTTTTCATTATCTGTTGGCCATTTGTATGTCTTCTTTGGAAAAGTATCTGTATCAGATACTCTGGCCATTTTTTAATTGGACTCTTTGGGGTTTTTGTTGTTGTTGAGTTGTATGAGTTCTTTATATATTTTGAATATTAGCCCTTTATTGGTGTTATTGTTTGCTAACATCTTCTCCCATTCAGTTGGTTGCCTTTTGGTTTTGTTGATGGCTTCTTTTGCTGTACAGAGGCTTTTAATTTTAAATAGTATATATTTTTTAAAAAGGTAAAAATATATGTCCCAATCTAGACCTTAGGCTGTCTTCCAATATTATCCTAAACTTGTGGCTAAAATTGTCACATATAGATATTTTAATTTTAAAAATTATAAAAGAATTGTAATTATTTGGCATGTTTTATAGCACTTCTATATAAATTAATTTCTATTTTAATTTTGTTTGGCACTTCAAATGAATATATAATGAAATTCATGTTTCAGAATCACCTATGATTTTAAAAAAAGTTATTGCATTTGGAAAAACAACTTAAGGCTAGCCAAAAACTTAAATCTTGACCCTAAAATTATCTGTTTAAATTCAAAACATAATATTTTTACATAACAGATAGAGTTTGGCTAATTCTTTGACTAAATACTTTATAGAGAATTTAAATTAAGGAACAGGAAGATCATCATAAAAATGCATTTCAAATAGTCACACAGACATTTTTGAAAGTCAAACAATTATTTAAGTCCTGCAAGTACACTGAAACAGCATACATCATGCCTGCAGTTACTTTATCATTCTAACACTGATTGATGTTTGCCTCTGGCCACGCCTACCCCTTGGTCTCATTTAATAAATAGACAGCATGAAAAATGTTTCCTGAAAACTGCCATACTTCATTTTTCTTTGTCTATATACTTGAAAAATATTTGCATGTGGAAATCAGGCACATCATGTATTCTGAAGTCATGTTTCTTTCAACAACATAGTAAGAGGGAAACTTGAATTCTTACTGGGCTGAATGTACCCATCAAGAAAGGCAGAGGAAAAACAATTCTGAATTGAGAACTGGATTAAAGAGCTTTTAGTTGAAGGATCTCTATTAAAGACATCTTTTGTTGGAGAGATTGTACAATTCTATGTACTAACTTTATATTGTGCTAACATGGAATGACTTTATTCAGAATTTTAAATTATCACTAAAATTAACCTTACCAGAAGCCTCAGAGGAATTGATCTTATTTACAGAAAATTCTTTTTGTAAATGAATTCAAAACTCACTTATACGCACCTCAATCCGAATACCAGCTCAGTTGGTTAAAGCGTAATTCTAATTAGACCAAAATTATATAAATTATTCCTGAAAGGTCAGTGGTTTTACACAAAGAAAAACAAACCACTCTTTCTTGCAAATTTTTTTAGTAAGCAATTATAAGAGCTCCTTTATGAGTTGAGTATTACTACCAGAAATTTAGGGATAGGCCTGGAGAGGGGGTGTTAAAAAAGATGCCAAGTCCCACTGATAGGGGATTATGTTATGTTTGTGGGGCAGAATGGCCTGAGATTTACCTCAATCCTGTGCTTGAATTAAAACCTTTGAAAGCTTCAGCTGACATTGCAAATGACTACAACCGTTTGGAGCAATTCTTAGAATTAGCCTTATATCTACATTGGAAGCACCAGACATAATGGAAATAGCAAATTGTACTTCGATTTGGCTTTTTGTACAACTTCTTTATCGTAAGTGTATTTGAAAACTAGTGTGCATGAACAATTGTGCATTCTGTTTATTTGTGGAAGGAGAAGAGGCTGTTTCACCCGGTTCATCTCTCAGTTTTGAAGATGGGTTTGCACCACATGAGGATGCAAGCCGTATTTCATCCAGCCAGGTCTGTGAGTTTACATCTAACAGCCCAAAGGGAGCAGAGGAAGCCAATTGTGGTGAGTCAGTACTTCATTCACTTAGTCACTGTTAGTGACTTTTCGTCACTCCCATAGACACTTGGCTGAGATTTATGTGTACATATTCACTCTCTGAATATAAAGTGCATACTACTCAAGTGAGGGGTGTTTAATGAAGACAGAATAGAGACTTCTCACGACTAAAATGACTTGCAGTTGAAGGCAAACCAGGTTAGCTTTAAAGCAGCAGCAATAAATAAAAACATTTTACTTTTAGTTTTGCTGTTTTGGAACATAAAATTTGACGCGAATGTAAGACAGAATTCAAAAGACAAGAACAAGAGTCTATCATTAATATTCCTTTATTAAAATTTTGTTTTGCAATTATAAGAAGGCTTACTCTTTTTCTAAACAATTGCCATTCTAGTACTACTTAATGCAGAGGACTGTATAATGTTGAAGTATATTCTTTAAAACTAGAGTGCATCAAAAATAAATTGGTCTTAAAACTATAGACCATGGTTTCCATATATATATATATATATTTTAAATTAATCAATTAATTTATTTTTGTTACTGATGTTTCTCCTTTTTCCCCCACTGATTCCCTCTCCTCCTCCCTCCGCACCCTGTCCCCAGCTTTGTTATCCATGTCCATTGTTCATGCATACATGCATGTAAGTTCTGTGGTTTATCTCTCCCCCACAACCCCCTCTTCTGGAGTTTTTCAGTCTGTACCCCACTTCCACGTCTCTGGGACTACCCCATTTCTCGAACTGTTATGTTCATTGTATTCCACAAATAAGTGAGATCATATGATACCTGTCTTTCTCTGTTTTGCTTGTTTTGCTTAGGTTAATACTTTCCAGGTCCTTCCATGTCATCTCAAAGGATAAGAGATCTTTCTTTCTCACAGCTGCATAGTACTCCATTGTGTATATGTACCACTGCTTTTTTATTCATTCGTCTACTGATAGACATTTGGGTTGTTTCTTAGCTATTGTAAATAGTGCTGCTACGAACATGGGGGTATATATATTCTTTCTGATTGGTGTTTCAGGCTTCTTAGGGTATATTCCTAGAAGTGGGATCACTGGGTCAAATGGTAGTTCATATACTTTTATATCTTTGAGGGTCTCTTTTAAATTTCTCCTTTCAAAACTGTGTATCCATTATTTTTGAATTATATTGATATTGCTCTAAAGTTATCCTACTTCCCCTGGAAAATTAATAAAGAAGGAAAAGAAGGGGGGATGTTGGTGGATAAGCTTTTGCAAAAGTATTTATATAACTGCTATTGAAGATAATGAGGAGAGATAAGAGAGAAGGTTATAAGAATATCACATTTTATTGGTTCCATACCTGAAATGAAAATCGAGGTAGTTTTCAGTCAAAAAAATGAGGGCATGGACATATCTATGAGGTATGGTGGAATACAGAGTTGGAGAGACTTTCAGCAATTCATGCAGAACATACATCAGAATGATGAGAAAAATCAAGGCCATTGATGCGTGTTGATACAAGGTAGCCATGCTGTGACTCTCTCACAAACCTTTATTGAGTGTCTACTTTGTATCAAGAGATTCATTTAAAAATGAAGTGTGGTCATGTGCCTCAAGAAATAGTCTATTAGGAAAGAAATGCTTTAGCATTGTTGAGTAGTGCTTTATTGTCATTATAACTACACCCAAAGTGTAAACCACTTGCTATTTTAACTCTGATGAGCTGGCAAATCACATTCTATAGAAGGTAGATAATTTCTCAGCAGGGATTTCTTAAAATGTTTTCTGGTTTTCTTTCTATGTCAGAAGAGTCATCTATTGATAGTTCACCAGGAATTAACAGTTCTAAGTTGGTCTCTGTTATACATTAAGACTGTTACCAAATGTATGTGGTTTAGGAATTGTATGTATATAAACTCTTTTAATCATCAAAACAATAGAGGTAGACACTATTATTGTCCTCATTTACAGACTTCCTCATCAGTTAGTTTCTGAACATGCAGGAGACAGTAACCACACAAGAAACTTGAACAGGGAATATTTAATATAAATAATTGTTATGAAGTAAAAAGTGTTTAACTATTAAAAATCACTTCACACCTGTCAGAATGGCCAC